ACATATTCTTCGAACCCCTTTAATGTTATTCGTTAAGCTTCTCCGTTATTGGTTAAAGTAAAGCATTCAATATTTTATGGCTCGTTTTGTGTTATGTTTTGTTTTGCTTTCGTTCAATTTTTTTCTCTTTTTTTTTTTTTTTTTTTGGTTTTTTATATAAATAAGGATAAAATTATTATACGACGCTGTGATATAAATCAAATGTGAAGTTCAAGGGAAAAATACTATTATAATTATAATAATTAACAAATCGGTCAATAATTCTCGGGACTGGCAATCAGATAACATCACTTATTACCGTTTAAACCGAGCGGCGATTTGAAAATTATTGCGGCAATTCGTCAATGGTTGGTTAATATTAAACGAGGTCATGCGCAAGGTGAACCTTGAAAAAATTCAAAGCATTATTCTCAATGATCGATCCGTGAAAATGCAAGTTTTGCATTAGAATTAGTAAGTAGCTCGTTCACTCACACACAGTCGAACGTATGCGTTATGTGTGTCATCGATGACTACAATGACAAGATTGCCTCAATTGAAATTCGAATTGCTCTCCCACCCAACGAAATTCCAGAAATTATTATCTGTTCAGGGAAAAAGATTTGAGAATCAAATAATAAGATCGTAGCGCATGTTGAAGGTCTTGGCAAATCATCCTTTAACGAATGCATTGGATAGTTGCATCAACATGGGGCTGATTGCGTCACTCTTGAAGGGAACTATTTTAGTGAAAAAGTCGAGTTTTGAGCAGAAATAAAGAAATTGGCTTTTTTTTTTAATCTTATGTAATCTCGGGAATTATCATGATCCGATGTATAATATTATTATTATTATTATGATATTGCAGGCTATGACTATGTACTTAATTTTGTGCGAATGTTTACAACTGGAAACAAGTAAAACCGTCATATCCAGGATTCGGGGAACACGATATCACTTTCGGAAATGTTAGTATCCCTCATTTCTGCATACCTCCAAAAAAAAAAAAAATGCTTTTGATCCATCCATCCCAACGATATCTATCACAATTCTTAGGTTATTACGGAATCCAAGTTTGAATAACAAATGCTTCTCTCTAGTTCCCCCTAATCTCCTCACTCAACGATCTTTGGCAAAAAAAAAAAAAAAAAAAAAAATTTAAATTAAAAAATTATATTCGCTTTAAGCCTTCTAAAGTGAATGTGCTCCAGTGGAGATTTGCGTGCATTTACCCAACAAACGGATCCATGCGGATTTAGTCGATCGCCATAATTATCTTTGAAAAATTCCTTATCTACAAACAGGTCACAGAATCACTGTTGAACACATTTTATATTGAAATTATAAGTGTGAGGCTGGTTCGATATCCTGAGCATTGCATAGGTAGTTATTCCCAGACCAAGCTCTTTTCCAACAATGTGCTGTAAACCTTGGCTTTTCGGCTTTGTTTTTTGCGATTACATGTGTGTTCTCATTACAAAAGGTAATCAGAAAGAATGATAGAGAGCCACATACAGTGTTGCACCGACGAATACACAAGAAGGGTCGAATCAAGACGAAAAAAAGTGGGATAATTGACTTATATCCCTATTATTGCCAGGTAATAAGTACCTTTTTGTTTTTTTTACCTTTCGATAATAGGCATAAAAATTGCAAAAATTTTTTTGAATTTTTATTATTCGAATCTATGCAGATTTTCATGTTGTTAAGCAAATCCAAAGAATCGCTTATTCGATTTTTTTCTCACAGTTTCTTTTCGAAATATAAAACCGTTACAGAAATTTGCAGAATGAGGAGTAATTTTACAAACCAGTAATAGACATTAAATCGATCCGGTCGGTTCATATATAGAAAAGTTCATTGTTCACGCGCTTTTGTAATGTTAGGTGCTTGCATGTGTTTTAATCAAAATACTTCCCATCATTTTTTACGACCTTTTTTCCTCTACTTTATGGCAACATTCCGACACCGTGTCGACAGAACAATATTGGTTCGGCAGCGATTCAATCCTCGACCTATTTTTACGTTTTTTTTTTTTAGCATTTGGAAACTGCGTCCCATGCCAAGCCATGCTGCATCGATCTGAACAAGTGGTAAACAGAAGGCACTATGTCTGGGTGCGGCAGAAATTCCCATTCGAGTTGCGTCAACAATTCTTGTAACATGTGGCCGGACGTTGTCATGCAAAAGGATGACTTTGCGTCTGACAAGCGCTAATACTCGTCTTTTCTGCAACAATACATCTTTCAATTTATCCAAATGACATCGGCAGACATCTGCACTAACAGTTTTATTCGATTTTATTAGCTCGTAATATATTACGATGTTGCTGATGCCACCATATGCGTAGCAAAACTTTGCACCCATGAATATTCTGCTTCGCTGTCGATGTCGATGGCCCTCCTGGTCTAGAAGCATGGGATTGTCGTAGTAGACCTACTTTGTGTCGCCGGGCAAAATACCTCATTACTAGTTTAAACTGCGTTTTCGTCAAATTTCTTGAAGTCATAGATGCAATTTTCAGCGTTCCATGATTACCGGCTGTATAAACTGAACAACTTGAAACTTGTTCCTTCATATAAAGAAAGATCAAAATACTCGAATTTAACCGGTGCGTAGCCTGATACTTTGCATCACTTTATCATTTTCATAAATAAATGTCACTGATCAAAATACAGGTTAGCAGCTGATAATAACCGGAGCAGATAAGACATGCACGAAACTTATTCTATATCCTGATTATTTCTTTACATTCCTGTAATATTCGAAAATAAAATATTGTTTCTAAGTTTACTATAAACATAAGGTATTGCGTGGTCATGTCTAAGTAACTTTGTGTCATTATCTTTATTCGTAATTTTTCGTTTTTTTTTTTTCAATTTAACCCAAACAATTCCAAGTGTTATTTACATGGCTGACATTTTCAAGCACCACTTAGTTAAGCTTTCAGTCACACACCCCTATAATTTTGTGATCACAAAAATTAAAAAAAAAATAAAATAAAAAAAAAAAAATTAGTACGAGTTTATGAATCGCCCGCCTGCCATGTCACAAGTAATCGGAAAATATATTAAAAAAAAAAAAAAAAACCCTTTCCGCCTATGAAATTTAATATAATTATTTGTCACATACAAACAACGGCAAACAGCAGACAACAACAAAACACAGCAAAAATGTGTTATATTGTTGTTTGAAGTTACAACCCTTCCACGTTAAGTTCATGTTACGTCTGGGGACAGTGTACTGAAAACACGCCATTTTTTTTTTTTTTTTTTTTTTTTGCTTCTTCCTTTGCTTCATTAATAGCTGTGTTACAAACATTGGCTATAATTATATTAAATTGCTTTGCGGCATTTGAAAACTTTGTCACGGAGGTGGTGTCATTTATTTGTGATTTCTTTTGGTGTTTTTGTTTCCCCTCAAGAGACGGCAATGGAAAGAAAAGATTTCCAAGGACCTGAACTAAGTTAATAAAGAAGTTTTTCAGTTAAAGTTGTTAAAACTTATTTTTTTAGCAAAGTTTTTTTTTTTTTTTTGTTTTTTTTTTGTTTCAGTATTTTTATAAGTGGTGTCAAAGTTTAAATGGAAAGCGATCTTTTTCTTTTTTTTTCTTTTCTTTGTCAAAAGAATCGCGTGCTGTAAAATCATTCTTTTATTTATTTTCTTTTCTCTTCTTATTTTTTTTTTTTATTTTTTTTTTTTTTGATAAACCATAAAACAAAGAATGGTCGTACACAAATATTCGTCAAATTTTCTAAGAAACAAGTCAAGTGTCATACTGCCAAACATTTTACGGGTCAACTACATGCAAAAATTATTATCGAAAAGCACAAAAAAAAAAAAATATATATATATATATAAATAAAAAAAAAATAAAATGAAATTTATATTTCAAAAACAACAAAAAGTCGGCCCAGAAAAAAAATACACAATAATTTGAATTTTACAACTTGCAGTTAATACATGAGCACACACAACCGCATGCTGACAACCTCTATATGCAGACGTTCTTAAACTTTAATTCACAAATGGAAATATATAACATTTTCTAACTGTCGATGTCGAGCAATGAATTCTAATTGTCGACAAAAAAACATCGAGCACAGCAAACTGTCTCGTGAACATAATTTTCAGGTTATGAAATAATAGGACTGCAAATAAAGAGAGGATAATACTTAGCAGAACTCTAAGCAGAAATGCTAAGCATTTCTTTTCCCGCTTTTGCCGTTCGCCTTGACTAACTGCGCTCTCTCCTGACAAACGAAATTAATATTTAATCTACGGTACAAGCATTAATGATCTTGATCCCAGTTTTTCCTACTGAGTTACTTTATTAACATTTTGTGGCGACGCTTAATATATTATAAATCAATAACAGTCTTAAGCGATCATTAAATATAAATTCCTTTTAAACCCTTATGTCAGATATGCAAACAATTAACTTAAGCGGTTTTCAAAAAAAAAAAAAACCCAATATTTTAAGTATTTGCGAGAAAAAAAAAGAAAAATGAAAATTAATTCACCCAAACAACGACGATACCAATCATCCACTTGGGTAGAATCCTAAATACACTTCACTTCACTCGCTATATACATTCAACGTAGAGCAAATGCATTGAAATATGTTGTATACCTTCACCTTTTTAGCGACGGCTATAATAAATAACATTAGTACATATTTGTCGCTTTATCCGCGACAAAGTCAGTGTATAAACGCATTATTTTTACAATGCGGTGAAGAAGTCAATTGGCGCCTATTCACGAGTTAATCACAGTAATCGCTTTGTGTATTACGAGTGATGCATTTACACGGCGGAAGCGGGAAAAATCACTGATTACGGAAGGATTAGAGTAAACGAGAATTCGTTTGTATTAGGAACATTTGGCAAATACGTGCATCGTCTAGAATCTGGTATAAATATCATTTCCAACACAATACTTTATCACATTTCGTTAGTAATAGTTGCACTGAGCTGACTGGACAGTTGTTCAAGTAATAATTTTAGAAGAAAGATAAAAGAATGTCGTCGTTTAGCATAAGATCAATTCTGTATGATGGTGATGTTGAAGAAAAAAGAGAAACTATCGGCGACGAAGAAGAATCTCCAACATCTTCGGGTTCCGAAGATAGTCGCGACAGTAAGCCAAATTATACATACAGTGCGCTGATTTTGATGGCGTTACGCAATAGTCCCGACAAACATTTGACATTGAGCGGTATTTGCGCTTGGATAGAGAAAAATTTCCGATACTATCAGAAAAACAAAAGTCAATGGACGAATTCTATTCGTCATAATTTAAGCTTATCCCCATACTTTATGAAAGTCCAGCGGGCTTTAGACGATCCAGGACGTGGAAATTATTGGACTATAAATCCGTTGTTTGAAGATTTGAAAGTGGGCGAGACAACTGGACGTTTAAGACGCAACAGTAACGGTAATATTATCCAACAACAATCCTTTCCCGTGGGTGGGGCTATGCGCGCAAACTATCCGTATCGTGCATTTGCTCAGCATTATACGCCACATGCTGTATACTTTCCCACGCCGGAAGAAATGCATTTAGCCCAACAGGCAGCAATAATGCAAAGGCAAAGAGAGCAATACTGGAGTTTGTATCAACAGAATCCACAACAAGCAAACGTGCCATTTGGGGCAAACTTCCACACACAATCGACTTCAATGTGAAGCAAAACTGTCTCTGTCTGTTCTTGTTTTCATCCCATCGTTAATAATTAATAATTGTAAATATTTGCTTATAAAGAGATTGTAAATATTCATCAAATATTTTAAATTTTAAGTAATCATGTTCTTTGATTTCCCATAAATATTTTTCTTTATTTTTTTTTTAAATAAATAAATAAAAATAAACAAAAAAAAAAAAAAAGACACCGAACAATAATTGCTCTGATCATTTGCAATTCAGTTTAATTTTCACATTCATTTGTCCATATAATTAGATGATCTCTGGACAAAAATATGGCTATAGGTTGTGGGCATTAGTAGGGGGTGACCGATGATCTCTCTTCTCTTTTTCGTCAAGGATAAGAACGGATCGAATGAAAAGTGATTTGAATCGATTGACGTCATGAAAGCAAAGCTGGAAAGTTTCGCTTCTTGAAGGCAAATTCTACTATGGTAATTGAGTTAAGGAGATCACGTAAAGCTTTTGGTTTTTCGAGAGCAGACATCTACTCTGGAATATCATTTCGCCCGTCCATTCGTTCATTTGTCTCCCCATGTATCTGTCTTTCATCTGCCGTCCGACTATCAAACAGATATCAGATCTCAGTTAAGATCGGCAATAAAGTTTTGATTGAAATTGCAGACGACACCATGCATATATAAATGAAGTGTGGTATATATATGCGAGTACAAAAATATGATTGATGAAATGTGCACGAATAAATCTTTTCGTACCGTGCCTCGTATGTGCCTCTAATTAGAGGTTAGACATTAAACGCCGAATAATCATATAGAGTAAGGGGCATTGTCCTAATTAACGTCAAAATTGCCCTATAAAAGAAAAAGTTCCTTAAACTTTGATTGCAACTAAGTGCTAATCTTTCGGTATAAATTAAAAGTTGAACTTGAAATATGCATTCAATGGGCTTTGGGACTTTTGGGAATGTCTTAGCAACGCAATAGATTTGAGAACAACTGGATTTCATGCTTTCTTTTCTCTTTTGTTTTTTAGTTCTCAACAAAGCAATAAATCTGGGCAGCAAATGTGGAAACTTTTTTACAAAATCACTTAAAACGTAGGATAAAACATTTATGATAAAAAAAGCAACAATAATAACAACAAGAATAACAGGAACAGTAAAACTGCTGACAACTACAGTAACAGTTCAATAATAAATATGATCATAATTTACATATGCGAACACTGCATACAAGAAATCATGTTGCATGTTGTTGCTTTGTTACCAATGCGAAAAGGAAATAAAAAGTAAAAAAAAATAATAATAATAATAATAAGAATAATAATAAATAAATAAATAAATAAAACGAAGAAAACATTATCACCATACAACTACCAACTAAAACTTATGCACATACCTTACGCTTTTTATTGTAGCGAGTAAAAAGCGACCCTTTCATATTTACTTAATACACATGCATACATAAACACACACACACATAGGATAACATTTACAAATACAAGCAGAAGTTATTACTGAACGTTGTTTGTTCTACCAACAATTGAATATTTTCGACATCAATTGCTTCACTAACAGCATTGGCAGCGGATACTAAAAGCTTAAGAAAAGCGTAAGAATGAGCGCGACATTTGGTATATATATACAGATATATATATATATATATATATAGATATATATACATATATATATATGATTGTGTTTGTGTTAGTGTTTGTTTGTGCATTTTGAAGGCAAACAAATATTTAGATGTTGCTGCCGTCTTCAATGATGTTGTTGTATATTATGTTACATTTCATCGGTAAAACAAGAACCAACCAACTAACAAACAACATGAACAAGCAGAGCCGCCAAAAAGACAGACAAAGATATACGAACAAGAAATTATTAATTTTTTTGCACAAAAGTTTGTTGCAGCAACAGAAAACGAAGAAAACAAAATAAAAAAAAAAACAAAACAAAACAAAACAAAACAAAATAAAAAAGAGAGAGATACTTATTCTTTTTATTTCTTAACGACACAACATCACCAGCAATAGTAACAACAACAAACACACATTTAAAAAGACATCTACAGCATATTCAGCAATGTTGTCATCATCATCATTATGATCTTGTGGAAGCGCTGCGTTTTTGCTTTCGCTTCTATCTTATGGTCAAGTACAGCGATCAACGCATAAAACAACAAACACAAAAATTTTAGTATAGTGTTGTGTAGTGTCGGAGTTTGTGCTGCACTGTGTGCGCTGTATGATCTGCGCTTATCGCAGTCGTAAGCGAGGAAAATTGTGACTTTGTAAAGTTGACGATGAGTTCGCGAACATGCTCTCACGTTGAGTTGTTATTAACGCGCACCGTGTGTTGGAGACGCCACAAAGCCGCCGATCATTTGCCTTATTTTACCCTTATTCCCAATGACGCGATGATATTGCTTCTCAATGCTATTACTGTTGCTGTCGCTATTGCACGTGTGTGTAGGTATATATAGATACATGTATTATATATATATATATATATATATATATATATATGTAAATAATTGTTGTTGTTATGTCTATTTTATCTACATTTTTAGATATTTTTATATTGGTATTATTGTTGTTATTGTTGTTGTTCTTGTTGTTACTCTTTTACTGATGTCGTTCATGTTATAAAATGAAAATTGAAATTGAATTGAATGCAACCAACTAACCTAAACAACAAAAGCAACAAAAACGACAACAATTGTCTTTATTTTTCTTCTTTTATTCTATGTTAAGAGATCTGTCCAGTATGTTCTTCCGTCTGTTTGTCTATAAGTTCAGTCAATGCGATATCCAACTGGGCAAAAATTGTTTTGACTTAAATTGCATGAAACCTCATTAAAGTGCCGTCTTCAAGATCAACTGTAAGACGTGGTTCCTGGTAATGAATGAAAAATTCCAAATGCTTGTTTGCACGCGTTTTCCTATATAGCTGCGTAAACGCTTCCATGTATATCCGTGTACATATACTTGGGTGTATGCGAGTGCGCATGTATGTGTGTATGCGTGTGTGTGTGTGTGTGTGTGTGTGTGGTTATGCGCATATAATAATGAAAATGAAAATATACAATATTTCTCTAATATCTTTATGTATGATATAAATTTTCATTTTACCTATGTATCCTAACAATTATTGCTTTAATTTTGTGTTTTAGTAAAAGAATAAAAGTCGTTTAGGACTTGAAAATATATAAAAAAAAAAAAAAAAGTAAAGGTAACACATAGGAAACAAATAAGAAACAAATAAGAAATATTTATGCTTTTACGCTTCTATGCTTTTGTGAATCCCATCCATTGCGAGACTGAATCGCTTTGGCAGGAAGACGATAGCCTGCATTTGGCGGGATAGAAAATGTATAGTCAGCTATTAGAGATTAAAGTCAAGTAAAACGGTTAATACCGTCAAATAATTTCAGTCAACAATTCATCGATTTGAAGAAATGAGCGAAATATCGAAAAGGGCAACACGGGACCATTTTTTTTTTTTTTTACATGACATCCGTCCATTCATCCATTTTGCAAAACAATACATTAAAAAGTACTTGGCCATGCGGACTACTCACCAGACACGACCTCTTCCGTTTATCCCCTTTTTTTCATCGATGGGACATGCACTTGGTAAACAAACGCTTTGAAGATATAAAAAATAATTGACAGGATTCCTGAGAAAAGGAGAAAATTTTCAAAGGCGTGTATTTAGCGATAGAGAAGGTTACCAACGCAATATTTTTCATTCGATATTTTCATAAAATTAATGAGCACTTTCTGTATAAAAATTCCGGTTTCATATTTACACACTTGGTATTTTGATAAACAGCTATGGATTATTTGCACATTGACTAACATTTAAAATGATAATGAGAAGGGTCACACGTACGCACACACATGACTGCCAATCACAAACGTTTTGCTTTCACTTCAGCGAACTGAACTCAATCGCTAAGCATTAACAAACGAAACATATTTTAATAAATTGGAGCGAAAGTGACATTGTATGACCCGAAGTTCACGCAACAACAAGTAATTGGAGATTGCCGCGTTTTCAAAAAAGAATCATTTTACCCCAATTCAAAGTTCGCAGTCACTAAACAGTGACCTGGTGTCACAATGCATTCCTTTCTCAACAATTGCTCGATGATTTTCTGAACCTTTAATTCGTCAATTTTATCGGATAACCATCAAAACAAGTTATCAAGATGAAAATGAGTCTCGTCGCTGAAGACGATAAGCATCCGTTTGATGTTATTCCATAAGCAATGAGAACTCATTGTTGTTTCGTATAGCTTTGCATTTTCCATAATCTTGCTGTCACGTTGCCCTCTTGTCGCTCGTAACATTTTATCGTACAAATGACGCGAGATGGAGGTCTTGCATAAATTTTAAAGCAACCAACGCGAACGCGTTGAGGAGGACATATCCTTTAAAGTAACAATGTTTATTATTTAAGCCGTACTTGACTTCATTTCATTTATAACTCTTTTTCCCCATTCATTTTTTGTTCCTTTCTTCATTTGTAAGCAACAAAATAAGTCTCAACGCTTTAGCTTCAAATCTCGGTAAAATTTCAATATTGAAATTACTGGCTGTACCCTCTTAGTTGTATTCCGTAGGTAAATTCAAATTGGTTTTAATATTATTCGATAGATGATTACTTTATTTTCAAGGCTGAGGATGAATTTTCGAACCAATAGCCAGTAAAGGCGTTTGTTTTTTATGTTTAATTGTTGTCTTTTGGCTTGTGTATGAGTTTTCCATGTAAGTCTATGATCTGTGTGCAATCTTAAGTAATTGACGTGGAATATTGCGACATTTTCTTCGACGTTAACTAAATGCTTCATGTGTTCAACTTTCCGTGTTAACTATAATTTTGCATTTTTTTAACCAGTGATCTATGCTGAATTGAGGCATGGTTGGGACCTACACTACCAGCTAGTATTGCAGTGTCCTCTACATAGGTTGCGACTAAAACACTATTTGTGACAAGTGGCAAGTGAGATGTAAAGCTTGTGTACAGAATTGTTCCCGAAAAACTTCATTGATTATTAAAAATTTCTGAAAATT